TTCTGACAGTTCTAGGACAACCCAGGATGATGCGCATGGCATCATTCTGTACTACATCTAGGCCTTGTAATTGTTTAAGTGAACAATTAAGAAGATGCAAGGCATAATAATCAACAACAGATCGTATAAAGGCAATATAAAAACTACGAGCATATTTTATGTTAATGCCAAATCCTTTGCCAACAAGAGTTTTTGAGAGGTTTAAGACGCTCAACAAGTTTTTTGAGTAGGTTGCTGATGAGATTTGTATCATTAACCTCGACTCCAAGATATTTATAAGACTCGCAAGTCTCCACAGGCACTCCAATAATAGTATAGTTAACATGAAGTACATCTCTCTCATCTCATTTTTTTTCTTGCAGTGTATTTGTTATTTTATTAATTCTGATAGAATTTACCTACTTAAAATTATCTGTTAGATTAAGGACCTGCCCGAAACGCTGCGCGTACTAGTGGCTTTACAAGATTGTAATTACTGTACTATGCTATGTATTCACACAAACCCAATGTACCTTGTATATATATAAATAAATAAATAAATAAATGAATGAAGAGAATGGCGAATAAGAACGCTTGTCTTATCAACAGAGATTATGAGGCCACAGTCTATTACTTGTCTTATCAACAGAGATTATGAGGCCACAGTCTATTACTTGTCTTATCAACAGAGATTATGAGGCCACAGTCTATTACTTTCTTGGGGCGTCGCATTTCCCTCATATGCGTTACATCAGGCCAAAAATTTTCGCATTACAAAATGGAAGCGGCTGGCGAAAGTGACGTACTGTCCCGTTTTCTGTTGTGGGTCCTCTGGTAGGTTAGGAGACGACGCTTTACACTGACTGTTTTCTTGACGTTGTGGGAACCTTAGAAGTTGTCCAGGCAGTTGGGTGTGTGCGTTTCTCACGAGGCTGGGACGGTAGAGTTTGTACAGTGTATCAAATGAAGAAGACGGGCCATCTTGAGGTTATCTTGAGATGATTTCGGGGCTTTAGTGTCCCCGCGGCCCGGTCCTCGACCAGGCCTCCACCCCCCAGAAAGCAGCCCGTGACAGCTGACTAACACCCAGGTACCTATTTTACTGCAAGGTAACAGGGGCATAGGGTGAAAGAAACTCTGCCCATTGTTTCTCGCCGGTGCCAGGGATCGAACCCGGGACCACAGGATCACAAGTCCAGTGTGTTGTCCGCTCGGCCGACCGGCTCCTCGCAGTCTTTAGGAGCCGGTGGCTGAGTGGACAGAACACTGGACGCGTGATCCTGTGGTTCGATCCCGGGCGCCGGCGAGAAACGTTAGGCAGTTTCTTTCATCCTGATGCCCCTGTTACCTAGCAGTAAATAGGTACCTGGGAGCTAGTCAGCTGTCACGGGCTGCTTCTTGGGGGTGGAGGCCTGGTCGAGGACCGGGCCGCGGGGATACTAAAGCCCCGAAATCATCTCAAGATAACCTCAGGATAAAAGTGAATACTGACGGAACAAGAGGTCGTGGATCGAAGCTTTAGAAACCCGTGAGCCTTGGATATTATAGTAATTTCTTTTGTTACTTAAGGAAGTGGAATGAACTATATAAGCAGGTTGTAGAAGAGAACTCTGATCATAATTTCAAAAATAGACTTGCTAAAACGATAGGTCATGATTCATTGCATTAGACAACCGGCAGAAAAGGCGGGGTCCAGGAGCTAAAGGTCGATTCTGCGCGCGCACACACACACACACACACACACACACACACACACACACACACAATAAACCAGTAAATGTAAAGTTATGGAAATGGGATCAGGTGACAGGAGACCAAAGGGACAGTACACAATGAAGGGGAACAGCCTACCTGTAACGATTCGAGAAAGAGACCTGGGAGTGGATGTGACACCTAATCTAACTCCTGAGGCACATATAAATAGGATAACGACAGCAGCGTACTCTACACTGGCGAAAATTAGAACTTCATTCAGAAACCTAAATGAGGAAGCTTTTAGGGCGCTTTACACTGCCTACGTGAGACCCGTCTTAGAGTATGCCGCGCCATCATGGAGCCCCCACCTGAAGAAACACATAAAGAAACTGGAGAAGGTTCAGAGGTTTGCGACGAGGCTTGTCCCAGAGCTACGAGGGATGGGATATGAAGAGCGGCTGAAGGAACTGAACCTTACGACACTAGAGAAAAGAAGGGAGAGAGGAGATATGATAGGGACATATAAAATACTCAGGGGAATTGACAAAGTGGAAATAGATCAAATGTTCACACGTAATAATAACAGAACGAGGGGACATGGGTGGAAACTGGAAACTCAGATGAGTCACAGAGATGTTAGGAAGTTTTCTTTTAGCGTGAGAGTAGTAGAAAAATGGAATGCACTTGGGGAACAGGTTGTGGAAGCAAATACTATTCATACTTTTAAAACTAGGTATGATAGGGAAATGGGACAGGAGTCATTGCTGTAAACAACCGATAGCTAGAAAGGCGGGATCCAAGAGTCAATGCTCGATCCTGCAAGCACATATAGGTGAGTACATATAGGTGAGTACACACACACACACACACACACACACACATTCAGCACCACACCCGCCTGGGGCCTCGTAGCCTGGTGGATAGCGCGCAGGATTCGTAATTCTGTGGCGCGGGTTCGATTCCCGCACGAGGCAGAAACAAATGGGCAAAGTTTCTTTCACCCTAAGTGCCCCTGTTACATAGCAGTAAATAGGTACCTGGGAGTTAGTCAGCTGTCACGGGCTGCTTCCTGGGGTGTGTGTGTGTGTGTGTGGGGAAAAAAAAAAGTAGTTAGTAAACAGTTGATTGACAGTTGAGAGGCGGGCCGAAAGAGCAGAGCTCAACCCCTGCAAAAAGGCAGGGAAGGTAATATACTACATACCTCTTCTGAAGTAATGTCTCATACTACATACAGTTACATACCTCTTCTGAAGGTAATGTCTCATACTACATACCTCTTCTGAAGGTAATGTCTCATACTACATACCTCTTCTGAAGGTAATGTCTCATACTACATACCTCTTCTGAAGGTAATGTCTCATACTACATACTCTTCTGAAGGTAAACTCATACTACATACCTCTTCTGAAGGTAATGTCTCATACTACATACCTCTTCTGAAGGTAATGTCTCATACTACATACCTCTTCTGAAGGTAATGTCTCATACTACATACCTCTTCTGAAGGTAATGTCTCATACTACATACCTCTTCTGAAGGTAATGTCTCATACTACATACCTCTTCTGAAGGTAATGTCTCATACTACATACCTCTTCTGAAGGTAATGTCTCATACTACATACCTCTTCTGAAGGTAATGTCTCATACTACATACCTCTTCTGAAGGTAATGTCTCATACTACATCTTCTGAAGGTAATGTCTCATACTACATACCTCTTCTGAAGGTAATGTCTCATACTACATACCTCTTCTGAAGGTAATGTCTCATACTACATACCTCTTCTGAAGGTAATGTCTCATACAAACTTGAGAGGCAGGTGGGAGTAGACGGAAACGGACTATCATGGATAAGGAATTATCTGACAGACAGGTGTCAGATTGTGACAGTGAGGAGCGAGGAGTGGGACAGGCGCAGAGTAACAAGCGGGGTGCCTCAAGGATCGGTGCTGGGACCCATATTGTTCCTCATTTATGTTAATGATTTGACTGCAGAAGTCGAGTCTTTTATGTCAATGTTTACACATGATGCAAAACTAATGAGGAGGGATGAGAGAGATGAGGATTGCAAGATTCTCCAGGATGACTTGAATAAGTTGCAGAGATGGTCCGAGAAATAGTTGCTTGAGTTCAACACCAGCAAGTGTAAGGTGATGGAAATTAGAACAGGAGCCAGAAGACCGAAAGGCCAATATACGACGAAGGGAAACTACCTCACTTTAACGTCTAGAGACAAAGACCTGGGAGTGGACATAACACCAAACCTAACTCCAGAGGCTCATATAAATAGAATAACGTCAGCCGCATACGCTACTCTGACAAAAGTCAGAACATCCTTCAGAAACTTGAATAAGGAGGCTTTTAGATCACTGTATACCGCCTCTGTGAGGCCAGTCTTAGAGTATGCCGCCTCATCCCGGAGCCCATCGTGGAACTGCAGTGGGTAGATTAGCTAGTACCTGAATCATTGTGTCGATTGTATCTTGATCGGTATTCTGTATAATGACATGTACCTGAAAAGATTAGCCTTGACTTTTGACCTAAAGATGTATTACGAGGAGAGAGGGAGGGCGGGCCCGCTTAAAAATTTAAATCTATATCCACCTAGAGCCCAGGCGGGAGACAATACTTTACACTTGGGCTATATTAGAGGAACTGTTTTCAAATCTGCACGCGAAAATAACTCCTCAGGAGACCAGAAGGCATTGCAGGATGTGCAAAATAACTGCGTTGAAAATCAGAGGTTGCAATAGGTACGCTGAGAGAGAATTCACTCCAGTTACAGCCCCGCTCCTGTGGCAGGTAAGTCCACTACGGGCTCACCATAGCCCGTGCTACTTGGAACTTTTTGTTCCTAGTAGCTGAATCTTAAACACCAACAACGGGCGACTTTACTCGCCCTTGTGAACAGGCGAGCATAGGCATGAACGGAGGATAATCCGAGGGCCCGAGTGACACAAGCAGGGGCCCCTCAGGCATGTGCCCCCGGGGGTCTGCCTCCAGGATGCGTCCCCCGGGGCCTGGGCCCAGGGCCCCATCCTCTCCATAATCTCCACACACACATGACCTTCAAAACATGACAAACATCAAAGTCAGAATTTCGCAGTGAGGCGGTCACGCCACACGGAGACGTCCGGTGCTCCGGAAGGATCTGGATTGGTCACTATTGTTTAACATAATTGGCAAAATTCAGTTGTTGAATTCGTGCCTAATCGTTAGTAATTTGATTATATGTTATTGCAGTGAGGATGCGTTTGCCTATATTCACTGTCGCATAAGACTGAATTGATTGAACTGATTGTAAAATTGAATACACATTTCATGAAGGTACAATCTACTACACAAGCCAGAGGCATCCTCGCAGATTGGGGAAAATGGGGTCGAAGAGTTGATGAATGTGAGGATCCACACCAGACGGTATAAGCAGTCCCCCTCACGAAGAGCACCGCTCCTGTGCCAGGTAAGTCCACTACGGGCTCACCATAGCCCGTGCTACTTGCCCCCGCTCCTGTGCCAGGTAAGTTACGGGCTCACCATAGTTACTTGGAACTTGTTCCGAGTAGCTGAATCTATAACAGCAACAACCCCAACCTCCTGGCGGGAACACCGCGTACAGCGCGCCCTGTTGGTCGGAGCTTCGACCAGACAGCCATCCACTGCGTCAGATATTGTCCACCACTGAGAGCGTCACTTCGGTTAACTCAGCCTGCTTTTCTATGGCTAATTGATTAGTTTGTTTTGTATGCGACAATGTGAAAGTCTTTGGGCCCGCTAGGAAGGTAATGTCCACAAGTCGTTTTCTCTCCTGTCAGCTCTGGATATATGTAAAATTATCCCCATTAATTTCTCCGGCGACCAAAATCATGTATAATCCACAATGGTCCAAACTGACCAAGGTCATGATAAAAAATTGATGAATAACATTTAATATCTGATTAATTATATGATATAATATGATACAACTATGGTAGAATACCACTATCGTATTATGGCTTATTTCGAATATTTATTCACGAAGATTCACGAAGCAGTTACGCAAGCACTTACGAACGTGTACATCTTTCCTCAATCTTTGACGGCTTTGGTTACATTTATTAAACGGTTTAGAAGCGTGAAAACTTCCCATTCAACTGTTGTTATTGTTATAAACAGCCTCCTGGTGCTTCGGAGCTCATTAACTGTTTAAAAATTGTAAACAAAACCGCCAAAGATTGGGAAAAGACGTACAGGTTCGTGCGTGCGTAACTACTTGGTGAACCTGACCCCAGGTTTGAAGTGTGGTCATTGTTCAGATGATATCAGGTTGCCCTGTTATCATCACCCAGGCTCGGAACCCCATAGTTGCCAACATTAAACTACAGCTCTCAGTCTTGGCCCCATTTTCAAAGCCTAGTGTCTATATCGTCTCCCAGAGATTTGAAGTTTTTTCTATTTTATATCCAGTCCTATATATGTTGCTCTTATAAATCCTGTATATACAGGATTTCTAAGCCTCATGAATGAGAGAGAGAGAGGTCCCAGGCCACTCTACTGGGACTCTCCACTGGGACTCTCCACTTACAACGCATTTCCCACTGGGACTTGACTCCGTTTATACCGTGTGTGTACACCATGAAGTAACCACGCCCAAGTCCAACTTGCGGCAAGTCCCTCAACACCTCGCGTCTCGGTCTTTTCAAACTGCTTTTAAAGTCATGGCACAGGTGCTATAGAACGTCGCGATCCATCCGTTGTCAACCCCTTTAAACGTGCTAAAATAATGTGACTAAAGGGGAAGAAGAGGGAGGGAAAGGGGAGGATTAAAGGGAGGGAAGGGAGAGAGGAGGAGGAGGTTGTACTCACCTAGTTGTACTCACCTAGTTGTGTTTGCGGGGGTTGAGCTCTGGCTCTTTGGTCCCGCCTCTCAACCGTCAATCAACAGGTGTACAGATTCCTGAGCCTATCGGGCTCTGTCATATCTACACTTGAAACTGTGTATGGAGTGAGCCTCCACCACATCACCCCCTAATGCATTCCATTTGTCAACCACTCTGACACTAAAAAAGTTCTTTCTAATATCTCTGTGGCTCATTTGGGCACTCAGTTTCCACCTGTGTCCCCTTGTGCGTGTTCCCCTTGTGTTAAATAGACTGTCTTTATCTACCCTATCAATCCCCTTCAGAATCTTGAATGTGGTGATCATGTCCCCCCTAACTCTTCTGTCTTCCAGCGAAGTGAGGTTTAATTCCCGTAGTCTCTCCTCGTAGCTCATACCTCTCAGCTCGGGTACTAGTCTGGTGGCAAACCTTTGAACCTTTTCCAGTTTAGTCTTATCCTTGACTAGATATGGACTCCATGCTGGGGCTGCATACTCCAGGATTGGCCTGACATATGTGGTATACAAAGTTCTGAATGATTCTTTACACAAGTTTCTGAATGCCGTTCGTATGTTGGCCAGCCTGGCATATGCCGCTGATGTTATCCGCTTGATAACATCAAGCTTGATATCATCATCTCCCTTGTGTGGCAGGGAGGGGGGTCGAAGGGGGTGTGGGGCAGGGAGGGGGGTCGAAGGGGGTGTGGGGCAGGGAGGGGGGTCGAAGGGGGTGTGGGGCAGTGTTTGAGAGAGAGAGAAGCCGCCCAGCTGACCATCATCACTGCGACCTTCATCTTGTTTACCTTCGTGACGTCATCATCAGCTGGACCGGTGACGTCCGCGGTCTGGCGATGGCCCCAAGTCCCAAATGACTCCCTGAGTCATCTGGGACTTGGGTGTCCCAGATGAGATGAGTGTCCCAGCAAGGTAAACAAAGACAGTATTGGACGGAATCTTGAGTTATCAACTAGGTCGCTAAAAAGTGTCGTTAGACGAGAACGCCTGGGGATGGATTTGACGAAAGTAGAACAGTGCTAATTGGAACTAGCAGGTCTATTGTTTATCACAATGAAATGTGTGAAGTAAAACATGTGTTTTACTTCACACAAAGTTAAAAGTAACAAGTAACAAAGTCAGTAGACTAACAGATGTTGTCACAGCTCGTATAAGACTTGGCTACAAGTATCTCTGGCAGTTCGGCTTGTATAGGGATCTAGATTAAGTAAAGTGTAAACTGTTTGGACAAAGACAGGGACACACACTCGAACACTATATCTTGGATTGTAGTAAACTTAAGCCATTTAGAGATAAATCTAAGCTCACGCTGTATGATATGGCAACCTGTCTTATTACTAAGGATAAAATACCTAAAATCCTTGCATTGTATCCATATTTCGCTTCCAGTAGATAAACGACATATAAGATTAAGAAACAAGTAGTGTATTGTGAGGACTAATAATAAACAGCAGCTCCCCTATGACTCTGTAATATCTCCATTGCTCAAACAATTATGTATTAGCGATAAGACCAACCATTAATGTATAATGACTTACTGTAAATATATAGCTCTTGAAATAGAACATTCTCTGTAACTAGCTGACATTGTAATTATAAGGTGTGAAGGATGGATGAAATTGTTTATGTAATAATCTAAGGTGAGGTCTGATAAAGACCTTTTGTGCCCTCTGTAATGCTTTTTTGCGCTACCGCTCACAAGATGAGTATGGGGTGCATAATAAACTAGCCGCCTCCAGCGGCAACAAATCAAAATCACCAGACAGCTCGGCCAGGTTCATCAAGCATTTAAACTTACGAAACCTGTACATCTTCCAACACTCGTGACGGCCTTGGTCACATTTATTAAACAGTTCATACGAGCTTCCAAACGTCACAATCCGAAGTTATTATAAACAACCTCGTATAGTGCTTCTGAGCGTATATACTGGTAAATGTAAACAAAGCCGCCATAATTAAGGAAAAATGTACTGGTTTCGTAAACGGTTGGGCAAATGCTTGACGAGTCGTGTCCCTGGACGTACGCTGGAACACCAGGGGCCAGAATAACGAAGAAGTTACGCAAGCACTTACGAATCTGGGGCCAGATTCACGAAGAAGTTACGCAAGCACTTACGTAAAGCATCCCCTGCAAAATACTTGAAAGAATAATTAGGCTAAGACTTGTTGAGCACCTGGAGAACATTGGGTTTGTAAACAAGCACCAACATGGGTTCTGGACAGGGAAATCATGCTTAACAAACCTTTTAGAATTCTATGATAAAATAACAAGAATAATGCAGGACAGAGAAGGCTCGGCAGACTGCATATTTCTGGACTGCCAAAAGGCCTTTGATACAGTACCGCACATGAGACTGCTATACAAACTTGAGAGGCAGGCAGGAGTAAGCGGAATGGCCCTAGTATGGGTGAGGAACTACCTAACAGGAAGGAGCCAGAGGGTAATGGTAAGGGGCGAGAAGTCGGACTGGCGAACAGTAACGAGTGGAGTACCTCAAGGATCGGTGCTGGGACCAATCCTCTTTCTTATTTACGTAAATGATATGTTTACAGGAGTGGAATCCTACATGTCAATGTTTGCGGATGACGAAAAATTAATGAGAAGAGTTGTGACAGATGAGGATTGTAGGATCCTCCAAGAGGACCTAGACAGGTTGCAGAGATGGTCAGAGAAATGGCTACTGGAGTTCAACACGAGTAAATGTAATGTTATGGAAATAGGATCAGGTGATAGGCGGCCAAAGAGACAGTACATAATAAAAGGGAACTACCTACCTGTAACGATTCGAGAAAGAGACATGGGAGTGGACGTAGCACCTAACCTAACTCCTGAGGCACATATAAACAGGATAACGACAGCAGCGTACTCTACACTGGCGAAAGTGAGAACTTAATTCAGAAACCTAAGTAAGGAGGCTTTTAGGGTACTGTACACTGCCTACGTGAGACCAGTCTTAGAGTATGCCGCACCATCATGGAGCCCCCACCTGAAGAAACACATAAGGAAACTGGAAAAGGTTCAGAAGTTTGCGACGAGGCTTGTCCCAGAGTTACGAGGGATGGGATATGAAGAGCGCCTGAAAGAACTAAACCTTACGACACTAGAAAAAAGAAGGGAGAGAGGAGATATGATAGGAAGATATAAAATACTCAGGGGAATTGACAAAGTGGACATAGACGAAATGTTCACACGTAATAATAACAGAACGAGGGGACATGGGTGGAAGCTGGAAACTCAGATGAGTCACAGAGATGTTAGAAAGTTTTCTTTTAGCGTGAGAGTAGTGGAAAAATGGAATGCACTTAAGGAACAGGTTGTGGAAGCAAACTTTATTCATAATTTTAAGACTAGATATGATAGGGAAATGGGACAGGAGTCATTGCTTTAAACAACCGATGGCTAGAAAGGCGGGATCCAAGAGTCAATGATCGATCCTGCAAGCACAAATAGATGAGTACTAATAGGCGAGTACACACACACACACACACACACACACACGTAACAAAGTTCAAAGGTTTGCCACCAGACTAGTACCCGAGGTGAGAGGTATGAGCTACGAGGAGAGACTACGGGAATTAAATCTCACGTCACTGGGAGACAGAAGAGTTAGGGGGGGACATGATCACCACATACAAGATTCTCAAAGGAATTGATAGGGTAGATAAAGACAGGCTATTTAACACAAGGGGAACACGCACAAGGGGACACAGGTGGAAACTCAGTGCCCAAATGAGCCACAAAGATATTAGAAAGAGCTTTTTTTAGTGTCAGAGTGGTTGGCAAATGGAATGCATTAGGAAGGGATGTGGTGGAGGCTGACTCCATACACAGTTTCAAGTGTAGATATGATAGAGCCCAATAGGCTCAGGAACCTGCTGATTGATGGTTGAGAGGCGGGACCAAAGAGCCAGAGCTCAACCCCCGCAAGCACAATTAGGTGAGTGCACACACACACACACACACACACACACACACACACACACACACACACACACACACACACACACACACACACACACACACACACACACACACTCACTCATCACGTGACCATAATTTAGGGTTGTGAAGGAGACCTTATAATGATGACCTTCCAGTTCCCGGCGTAATTTTATCTCGGGGGGAAAATATTAGGGGAAGCGGTAGAAAAAATTGGCCCCTATTGACATGAATCTTTTTTTATTTTTGTATTTTTTTTTTATATAATACCAGGTGATGTAATCCATCAGTGTGACGGGGAGTCCACGTGGCAACAGCGCCCCGCGCCTGGAGAAGTGGCACCTGCGCCGTTCCTTCAATTGATCGCCTGCGTGGTTGCCGAATCTTTGCGAGATGCCAAATCGATTATATTTTGCTCCTAATTGCTTTTCTAATAGCGGGTGGGGAGGTCTAGTCGTGAATGAGTTCGTTCACGAACTTGTGTTTTGATCAATATACAACGCGTTGTAATTTTCATTTGCCAGTAGTGCGTGTGGTAAGTGAAGGAGCGTTAAATATTGTGGGTGGTGTAGAGGCGGCAACACTGAGAGTAGTTGGTGTGGGTGCCGGCAGGGGGACAGGGCGCCTCGGCTAGGCTCTCAACACTATACAATATTTCACACGTAACAACCTTTTTTTAACCTATATATTGGACTACCCTTCAGTGGCAGTCTATATATGTTTCTTCATATACAAATGGCCGCGTTTCGAATTGAAATAATGAATCAATTTTATATAACGGGTAATTTCGCAAGAAGATTGGGTTTTGAGTAGTGTGAGCGCCTTCCATTCATGGGTGGAGGACACTTAACCATGCCATTCACGGCCCTCTCCAGGGGGGGTGTTGTGGCGGGTGTAATCTGAGGTCATCTTGAGAGTGTGGGGCAAGATGGGTGTTGAACCTGTGACACCTTGGGGCAACCTTCCTCCTGATCTCCTGCAGGACGTGCAGGTGTAGGGGCCGGGGGGGGGGGGGGGTATAGGAGCCGGGGGGCAGGGTGTATGGGCCGGGGGCAGGGTGTAGGGGCCGGGGGGGGGGGGCAGGGAGTAGGGGCCGGGGGGGGGGGGCAGGGAGTAGGGGCCGGGGGGGGGGGCAGGGAGTAGGGGCAGGGTGTAGGGGCCGGGGGGGCAGAGTGTAGGGGCCGGGGGGGCAGGGTGTAGGGGCCGGGGGTACAGTGTAGGGGCCGGGGGCAGAGTGTAGAGGCCGGGGGGCAGAGTGTAGGGGCCGGGGGTACAGTGTAGGGGCCGGGGGTAGGGTGTAGGGGCCGGGGGGCAGAGTGTAGGGGCCGGGGGCAGCGTGTAGGGGCCGGGGGGTACAGTGTAGGGGCCGGGAGGGCAGGGTGTAGGGGCCGGGGGGCAGGGTGTAAGGGCCGGGGGGCAGAGTGTAGGGGCCGGGGGGCAGAGTGTAGGGGCCGGGGGGCAGGGTGTAGGGGCCGGGGGGCAGAGTGTAGGGGCCGGGGGGCAGAGTGTAGGGGCCGGGGGGGCAGGGTGTAGGGGCCGGGGGGGGCAGGGTGTAAGGGCCGGGGGGCAGAGTGTAGGGGCCGGGGGGCAGAGTGTAGGGGCCGGGGGGCAGAGTGTAGGGGCCGGGGGGGCAGGGTGTAGGGGCCGGGGGCAGAGTGTAGGGGCCGGGGGGCAGAGTGTAGGGGCCGGGGGGGCAGGGTGTAGGGGCCGGGGGGCAGGGTGTAAGGGCCGGGGGGGGGGGTGTAGGGTGCCGGGGGGGGGGGGGTGTAGGGGCCGGGGGGCAGGGTGTAGGGGCCGGGGGGCAGAGTGTAGGGGCCGGGGTCAGGGTGTAAGGGCCGGGGGCAGGGTGTAAGGGCCGGGGGCAGGGTGTAAGGGCCGGGGGGCAGAGTGTAGGGGCCGGGGGGCAGGGTGTAGGGGCCGGGGGGCAGGGTGTAGGGGCCGAGGGGCAGGGTGTAAGGGCCGGGGGCAGGGTGTAAGGGCCGGGGGGCAGGGTGTAAGGGCCGGGGGGCAGAGTGTAGGGGCAGGGTGTAAGGGCCGGGGGCAGGGTGTAAGGGCCGGGGGGCAGGGTGTAAGGGCCGGGGGGCAGGGTGTAAGGGCCGGGGGGCAGAGTGTAGGGGCCGGGGGGCAGGGTGTAGGGGCCGAGGGGCAGGGTGTAGGGGCCGGGGGTAGGGTGTAGGGGCCGGGGGTAGAGTGTAGGGGCCGGGGGGCAGAGTGTAGGGGCCGGGGGTACAGGTAGGGTCCGGGGGGCAGGTGTAGGGGCCGGGGGTACAGTGTAGGGGCCGGGGGGCAGAGTGTAGGGGCCGGGGGTACAGTGTAGGGGCCGGGGGGCAGAGTGTAGGGGCCGGGGGCAGGGTGTAGGGGCCGGGGGGCAGGGTGTAGGGGCCGAGGGGCAGGGTGTAGGGGCCGGGGGGCAGGGTGTAGGGGCCGAGGGGCAGGGTGTAGGGGCCGGGGGTACAGTGTAGGGGCCGGGGGGCAGAGTGTAGGGGCCGGGGGGCAGGGTGTAGGGGCCGGGGGTACAGTGTAAGGGGCCAGGGGGCAGAGTGTAGGGGCCGGGGGGCAGGGTGTAGGGGCCGGGGGGCAGGGTGTAGGGGCCGGGGGACAGGGTGTAGGGGCCGGGGGTACAGTGTAGGGGCCGGGGGCAGAGTGTAGGGGCCGGGGGGCAGGGTGTAGGGGCCGGGGGGCAGGGTGTAGGGGCCGGGGGTACAGTGTAGGGGCCGGGGGCAGAGTGTAGGGGCCGGGGGGCAGGGTGTAGGGGCCGGGGGGCAGGGTGTAGGGGCCGGGGGTACAGTGTAGGGGCCGGGGGCAAGGTGTAGGGGCCGGGGGTACAGTGTAGGGGCAGGGTGTAGGGGCCGGGGGTACAGTGTAGGGGCCGGGGGCAGAGTGTAGGGGCCGGGGGCAGAGTGTAGGGGCCGGGGGTACAGTGTAGGGGCCGGGGTACAGTGTAGGGGGCCGGGGGTACAGTGTAGGGGCCGGGGGTACTGTGTAGAGGCCGGGGGTACAGTGTAGGGGCCGGAGGCAGAGTGTCGGGGCCGGGGGTACAGTGTAGGGGCCGGGGCAGAGTGTCGGGGCCGGGGGTACAGTGTAGGGGCCGGGGGTACAGTGTAGAGGCCGGGGGTACAGTGTAGGGGCCGGGGGGCAGGGTGTAGGGGCTGGCGGGCAGGGTGTAGGGGCCGAGGGTACGTGTAGGGGCTACAGGGTGTAGGGGCTGGGGGGCAGGGTGTAGGGGCCGAGGGTACAGTGTAGGGGCCAGAGGGTACAGTGTAGGGGCCGGGGGTACAGTGTAGGGGCCGGGGGGCAGGGTGTAGGGGCCGGGGGTACAGTGTAGGGGCCGGGGGCCAGAGTGTAGGGGCCGGGGGGCCAGAGTGTAGGGGCCGTGGGGCAGGGTGTAGGGGCCGGGGGGCAGGGGGCAGGGTGTAGGGGCCGGGGGGCAGAGTGTAGGGGCCGGAGGTACAGTGTAGGGGCCGGGGGCAGGGTGTAGGGGCCGGGGGCAGAGTGTCGGGGCCGGGGGCAGGGGTGTAGGGGCCGGGGGGCAGGGTGTAGGAGCCGGGGGTACAGTGTAGGGGCCGGGGATCAGAGTGTAGGGGCCGGAGTAGACTGTAGGGGCCGGGGGGGCAGAGTGTAGAGGCCGGGGGTACAGTGTAGGGGCCGGGGGGCAGAGTGTAGGGGCCGGGGGGCAGAGTGTAGGGGCCGGGGGGCAGAGTGTAGGGGCCGGGGGGGGCGGAGTGTAGGGGCCGGGGGGCAGAGTGTAGGTCCCCCGGGTGAGGGGACGAGAGTGAGGGGGTCGGGAGGGGCGCGAGGAGCGAGGTGACAGGCAGTGCGCACACGGGGCCCGTCGCGACAACATCACAACACGAGCGCGTCTCCTCGCCCGCCCCAACACTCCCCCCTTGTGCCCCCCTCGTCTCCTGCTGCCTCCTGCAGGAGGACGACGACGACCGCTCCTTCCCCCGAGTGCTACTCCGCTAGTGGGCCCCCTGGAACTGTAGACACCCCCTCCCCCTCCTGACGTAGATTGTGGTGGATATTGTAGTAGTGTAGCGAGGCAACACTTGGAGGGACAGGTGTGTGTGTGTGTGTGTGTGGTGTTTTCCGTCTCGCCTGTCATGGAGGCTTCCCGTCAGGCCTCCTAGTCTCCGGCGCCGCCATGGGCCTCTCCTACTGACTGGTGAGTAGTGTCCTCCGCTCCGGTGCTCACCTCATATCAATACTTTCCCAGTCAATAATGTATAGGGTCTATATATATAGGCGTATGGTGCCTACGGGATTACTGGCATCAGCATGTGGACAAGTGTTACACGTATGGCAGGTGTGTGCAGCTGTGTGTGTGTGGCACTCGTATATTTGATATTTTATTAGGGGGGGGGGGGGGACGAGGCAATAATTTCCTATTCAGGTGTATCGCATGCTGCTGTTTCGTACACAAATGAGCATGTTTACATGTAAATAACACCTTTTTTTCGTTGTTGTTTACAGTCATTTTTGTTTACAAGCAGTGGAGTGCTTTTGACACATGTCAACGCTTAATCGCTAATTTGGTCTGATATGGGTATGCTAACTGCCGGACGTACGAACTGACTTGTGTATATCCTTTCTTTCACCACAAGAGTATATCTTCCTCCTCCCCCCCTCAACACGAGGGGAGTGCCATCTCAACACAGGTCAGTGCCACCTCCCAAACAAAGGGAAGTCTCACACTGCTGCCACCAGGGCAATGCCACAACCGGCGGAAGTGCCACACTTTCTGATACAACACAGGTCAGTGCCGCCTCCAGAACAAAGAAGGGCAACATTGCTGACACAAGAGAACAGTACCACTTCCACAAAACAGGGAAGTGCCACAATGGTGACACCACAACTCGGGACAGTACTGCCACCCACCATCATGAGAGTCGCACTGTCATCTCCGCTCAGGCACAAACAATTTCTCTGGTGCGGGTTTGTTTTGATAAGAGTGGATACTGCCACTATCAGTCTCAGCTTAGGCCACTGGCAGTTTTCAGGCGGACACTGCCAACACTAAATGTTTATCTCTGTGGTCAGGTCAACACTTCCAGCAGTAAATAGCTCGGATAGTGACTATCTGAACACTGCCAACACTAAATGTATATCTCTGTGGTCGGGTCAACACTTCTGACACTAAATGGCTCGGAAAATGACCATGTTGACACTGCCAACCTAAATGTTTATCTCTGTGGTCAGGTCAACACTTCTAGCATTAAATGGCTCAGATAGTGACCATCTGAACACTGCCAACACTAAATGTTTATCTCTGTGGTCAGGTCAACACTTCCAGCACTAAATGGCTCAGATAGTGACCATGTTGACACTGCCAACACCACAACCTCACGTATTCTGGGTTGTGTTGACGGGAGCGGCGGGTTGTGTTGTTTAGTTGCTCGATAAATATTATTTTAACCAGCTCCATGGTGACTGAGAATTGGTCCTGAAGGCAAGACCAATCCTGTTTAATAAGCCAGCGGTCAGTGTACAATTGTTGCTAGGCTATTTGTAGCCTATGAGCAGAATTTCATGTATATGAACCCATCCTCCTGTTTAAATAGTCCTTTTGTATAATTATGTACACCATAGTATAATCATTGACATAAGTAGTCCAAACAAAATAAAGCTAAAAAAACAAACTTGAATATTCCTAGGCCTATTATAGCACATATATATGTATGGTATTAGGCCCTCAGATACCGTATGTTATGCCTAACAAGTTTAGGTTGTCATTGAAACATAAATACAAAACTTTTTCCGGGTTGTCCAAATTCAATAGTAAGAATTTCTACTTCCTGTTTGTCCATTAGATGATATATGTACGATGGTCGTCATCGTTACTATAAGTATTAACTCAATAATTAGTCCACTACGGGCTCACCATAGCCCGTGCTGCCTGTGTTGTTGCTTAAACAGCAACAACTAAATAGGATGGGCTGTGTGTGTGTGTAATTTGTTTTTCAAATGCACAGTATAGCAAATTAAGACTTTCGTTCGTGGATGGTCTCTGATCCAATCATCGGCCTTGTTAAGCTAAGTTTTTTTTTAGGCATTCAAATTAAATTGGAATGTCAGCTTCTTTTTGAATGGAATAGTGCGAGCTTAATATGGTTGTACAGTTATGTACATAACTAAGGACAGACGAGATCTGCATCAATTATGGTACTGAGATTAAGATATTCTAGAAGTGCAAGGAGGAACTTGAAAGTAGTTTCGGATGATGCATCTTGATGAAGGGTTTGGAGACACCTTCAGCCTCAAGTGAAAACAAACAAAAATTTTTCTTGATGACGAGAAATTGGAAAGTAAAAAGTTAAGAAGCAGTGGTACCGTGTCGCTCTCCAGACGAAGCCTACACTATCAGACGATAATATAGTTCCCATTATCGGGGACAGGAGAATTCAGGCTTATCAAGTCCCCCTGGTGATAATGACTGACTCCCAGGATGCGATCCACAACAGCCGACTAACTCTCAAGTACTTGTGTACTAATAAGTTAAGATATCGGGCGTATAGTAACTTGCCCAGACGCTTCATTTGGGTATCGAACCCAAGACATGTCAATTGGTTGAGAGCAGCTTGCAATAATTCTGCAGGTCACGTACACAAATTATTAAGGTTTTAACAACTTCATGGATTAGAGAGGCAATATATCATAATCAGGGGCAGCCTGAAGGCTGCCCCCTGCCTAACCTGCAGCCTATTGAAGGCTGCCCCCTGCCTAACCTGCAGCCTATTGAAGGCTGCCCCCTGCCTAACCTGCAGCCTATTGAAGGCTGCCCCCTGCCTAACCTGCAGCCTATTGAAGGCTGCCCCCTGCCTAACCTGCAGCCTATTGAAGGCTGCCCCCTGCCTAACCTGCAGCCTATTGAAGGCTGCCCCCTGCCTAACCTGCAGCCTATTGAAGGCTGCCCCCTGCCGAACCTGCAGCCTATTGAAGGCTGCCCCCTGCCGAACCTGCAGCCTATTGAAGGCTGCCCCCTGCCGAACCTGCAGCCTATTGAAGGCTGCCCCCTGCCTAACCTGCAGCCTATTGAAGGCTGCCCCCTGCCAAACCTGCAGCCTATTGAAGGCTGCCCCCTGCCTAACCTGCAGCCTATTGAAGGCTGCCCCCTGCCTAACCTGCAGCCTATTGAAGGCTGCCCCCTGCCTAACCTGCAGCCTATTGAAGGCTGCCCCCTGCCTAACCTGCAGCCTATTGAAGGCTGCCCCCTGCCTAACCTGCAGCCTATTGAAAGGGCTGCCCCCTGCCTAACCTGCAGCCTATTGAAGGCTGCATGCGACATTTTATTATACTCTGTGCGGCTTTCTACAACAAATCGTAATTCATGTGAAAAAGTAATAAAACCTTGTATAATTAACAATTGTATTAATATAGAAATCTGTTGACAACTTACAATGCTTTAATAGTCAACCTTAAAATCGACTGACGTGTCTCCAGACTACTGTATTGACCAAATAGATTAAAATGAAGTCGCTCGAATATTTGTATTTTGGTCCGACCGCAACTTAAACGACAGAATTAGATTCCTTAGAAACATGTTTTAAATGTGATTTTTTTTCGCTAAACGACGAGCGAGTTTCTTTACGACTTTATAATTAGGTCCGTTTATACATAATTGGTGTTTATTACTTCATTACTGAATATGTGTGGGCTTGCATAATCTATCAATATTTTAATTAGAATAATACAAAAAAAATCATTTGGAGCAATGCGGGAATTCGATCTAGCGACTCCCGTACATTGCTCAAATTGATTTTCATTGCTGTATCACATTAGTGTAATTTCCTTGTGTATTCATACAAGACGCACTACATGACGCAAAATCAATTACGTTAAAATAAAACTTAATCCTAAAATTATGCTAAAATACTCTTCGATTCACAAACTATCTTTCTCTTTTCTCTTTTGTTGTTGTATTTCAGTGTATTTAAATGCAAAAGTAAGTTGTTTTGAAACAACTATAAACTACTGTGATATAAAACTATCCTTTACCGCACATTACTGTCATACTCTTTAAGAAATGCTGCCTTATGAAAATCTTCGTTAAGTAAACTTTGGCCAGAGTATGACATAAGATTCGCAATCGCAGGCTTTGGGCCAGATTCACGAAAGCACTTACGCAAACACTTACGAACCTGTCCATCTTTTCTCAATCTTTGGCGGCTTTGTTTACAATTATTAAACAGTTAAAGAGCTCCGAAGCACCAGGAGGCTGTTTATAACAATAACAACAGTTGATTGGGAAGTTTTCATGCTTGTAAACTGTTTAATAAATGTAACCAAAGCCGTCAAAGATTGAGGAGAGATGTACACATTCGTAAGTGCTTTCGTGAATCTGGCCCCTTGTCTATAATTCTGATGTGAAACAAGTCATTTTCATCCTAAGAGTTAACTATACAATATTTAACAAGGTTCCAGGAGTTGAGGGCAGGCGCTTATAAGGAAGATTTCCTACCCTGTGAGGAAATTCTATTTGGGATTTAGGTTAAAACAAAATTTAGCCTTGAAAATGTGCTATTGTAGTACATAGGCTGTGTAAGTTGACCAGACCACACACTAGAAGATGAAGGGACGACAATGTTTCGGTCCGTCCTGGACCATTCTCAAGTCGATTGATAGGCTGTGTATACTGTGGACATTTTTTTTTCTTTGCAGCCTCGTATGCGTGTACTTTTAACACTAATGTTATAAGGGTATCCTATAATGTTTTCTTTTGTGATATCCTAATAAAATATAGACTAATTTGTGCATTTTTGAATCTATGTTCGCCTTGTATGGTAGGCTGTTATATTTTTAAAATGTATTTATTAAAAATTTGATTTGTCTATTTTCTAGCTTGTAATTAGTTTGTATTTTAATTATTATATTTTCAAATATTGTGTCGAGAAAATCGCCGTCATAGGAGACCAAGAATACGTACCTTTTATTCTTCTTTCTGTCAAACTGCAATTAAGATTTATAATAGGTTTTGTTTGAATGAATTTAGCTTGTGTTTTTAGTCCAGTAGCTGCCTGTGACTGTGGTAGGATTGATCGGTACACAACACGGTTCAACAGATGGTTTTCTTGTTATAGATTCAGCTACTCGGAACAAGTTCCAAGTAGCACGGGCTATGGTGAGCCCGTAGTGGACTTACCTGACACAGGAGCGCGGGGCTGTGTA